CGTCCGAGAGAGTCTCGACGGAATTGGTGCGGCTGCCCAAGCCCGATAAGCCAGGAGAGCACCGCCTCAAGGCATTGCTGCAGACGCTCATCAGGGTCTGGGGGAGGGTCCGTCGGTCGGTGTCGGTCGAGTGGGAGGGGAGGATTCGCAGCGATCTCCTCTGGGGGTCCGGCTCCGGGCGCAGTAGTACATATTGCGCCTTCTCCCACAATTTAGAGGCCGAAGTGGCCCGCCACACCGATGAGCATTCCGTGTCGGTGCTTCTTGACATGGTTAAATGCTACGAAATGATCCTCCTGTCGGCCGTGATGGCAGAGGCTGCTGCTGTCGGGTATCCGATGCGTCTGGCGTGGATGCTGATGTGCGTCTACCAGCAGCCTCGGCGCATCAAAGGATTCGGATCCGTGAGCAAAGCTTTCGTGTCCTTCCAGGGGATACTGCCCAGGGGCTGCCATGCGACGACCTTGATGCAGGTGATCCTTCTCCGGCCGCTCCAGCGTATTCGTCGCGAGCATCAGTTTGTCATCCCAAGATGCCTCATGGACGATGTGTCCTTCCAGTGGATCGGGAGGCTGGCCAGAAACGCGGGGACAGTTTTCAGTGCAGTCTTAGCCTTTGTGCGGGACACGCGTGACCTCGGGTTTCGTTTGCAAGCCACCAAGTCTGGTTTCCTGGCTTCGTCTAGGGAGGCCGCGCGGGCGGTCAAGGTGCACGCTGCGATGTGTAAGCTTTCTGCCTTTCGGTCTGCGCGCAATCTAGGGCACGATTCTTTTGTCGCCGGGGTAGGCTTCGTGCCCTGAAGAGGGCTGGGGGGTTGAAGGTTCGGGCTCCGTGGCGGACAGGTGTCATGCCGGCAGGTAGCCATGGGGCGGGGGTCATCGGCCTCACCGATACCACGCTCATGAAGCTTCGTACTTATGCCGGCGAGTTGGTAGGCGCGCGCAAAGGCCTGTCCTCCCTGACGGCCTACACGTGCACGCAGAAAGACCGGTTGCACGACCCCACTTTTGATGCCACCTGTCCCTTACTTGCCCGCTACGCTAGTTGGATCTGGGATGGTCGCACCTCCCCGGCCCAGCTCCGTGCCGCTTGACAGGCCATTCACTTTCGACTTGTTCCCAATGGATCTTGGCGCATGTGTTTTGGACCGATCTCGGCGGTGATTTTGTCCCTCCGGCGGATTGGTTGGGACATGGTGGCGCCCCACGTTTTGCTCTCGGATCGAGGTGATACTGTGTCCCTCTACGAGTTCTCGCCGTCGGAGGTCCGAGCTTTGGTCCAAGACGGCGTGCAACGCTGGCTCTGGCGCAGGATCCCGTTTCACTGGCCAGAGGCGGCGGGCGCCGAAGACGTCTGGATTCGAGCGATGCGCTTCGCCGCGCTGTCTCTCCCAGCTGGTGCCCGACAGGGGTCGGCGAGGGCCCTGCTGTCCGGAAGTCTCTGGCCCCCCGAGCGCAAATTTCAGGCCGGCCTGTGCGCGTCGGGGAAATGCCAGTTTTGTGGTGCTGAGCGCTGGACGCTCGGCCACCAGTGGGATGATTGTCCCCCGGCCTTTACATCGCATGAAGATGAGGATTCGCAGCCGCCGTTTCCAGAGGATGTTTGGCAGCGCAGGCAGAGCCTCAGGGAACAGGGCATCTCTCCCCTGGGGGGCTCGGATTGGGATGTGTCTCCCCTCCTCTATGGTCTCCCTCGAACCCCTGTAAGGCTGCCGCCGCCGCTTCCTCACCCATCAGTGCTGAATTGGGGTGTTACTCAAGGCACCTGGGGCCCGACGCTCTTTACGGACTGTAGTGGTCTGGCTGGCGCGTGTCCCGAGGCGGCTCGGTGTGGTTGGAGCGTGGTTGAAATCACGGCAGACGGCTGGCCCCTCCGAGCGAAGTTCGGAGGGCTGCCCGGGCTCTTCCAGACAGTGCCACGGGGAGAGCGTTGGGCCAGCCTGGAGGCCATGCGTTTGGGCCCGCCAGATGTCACCATCATGAGTGATCATTTGAATTGTTGTCGCTTCGCGAATCCCCACCAGCCCATCCAGAAACGATGCCCAGAGGAATTGCCTCGATCAGAGAAGTGGGCAGCACACAGAGGAAGCCATTATGAGACATCTTGGGATATCTTGAGCCATCTTGGAGGTCATTTTGGGCTCTCCCAGACGCTCTTGGAGTCATCTTAATCCGTGCCCCCCCCCAAGAGGCCTCCATGTGGCTAAAACCTGTGTAGAATCAATGATTAGGCATTCTCGCCGAGGCCTCTTGGAGCATCTTGGGTGCATCTGGGGGGGCTCTTGGGGCCTCTTGGGGGTCTCTTGGGGGCCTCCGGGGGGCCTCTTGGGGGCCTCTTGGGGCCATTTTGGGGCCATCTTGGGACCTCTTGGGGCTTCCTGGGCGCTTCTTGGGGCCATCTTGGAGGAGATCGATCAAACAAGAGGGGGGGTTTAATTAGCGTCCCCCCTCGGAAGCCCCTAAAATCGCCTCTTGGACCCCTCTTGGAACGCTCTTGGAGTGCTCTTGGGCGCTCTTGGGGCCGTCTTGGGGCTCTTTTGGGGCTCTCTTGGGGCCCTCTTGGGCCATCTTGGAACCATCTCCAGGCCTCGGATGGCCATCGGAAGCGAAAAGGCGAGAAAGCAAAAATCATTGATTTTCCTTAGGTTTTGGGACGATTTTGGCCTCTTCGGGGCCTCCTTGGGGAGCTGTTTGGCCACTTGGAGTTATCTTGGGGCCGTCTTTGGGCTTCTTGGAACCATCTTAGGAGCCATCTCGAGCGATCTTGCGCTATCTTGAGCCATCTTGGAGCTCATCTTGGGTTCTCTGAGGCGCTCTTGGAGCCGTCTTGGGCCATCTGGGACGCTCTAACTACCCGCGGCCCCCCCCGTCCAGGTCCAGGGGAGGGGGTAGGGGGAGGGGTAAACCCCTCCCCAAGGGGGAAGAGGGAGGGGTGGAAGAGGATCTGCTCTAGACCACCTACGCCCAGAGGGCTGGTGGGATTTTGTTCGTGAGGGCCAGGCTTGGGACGCCAGTCTTGAGTCGGGCCTTTCGCGTAATGCTTCCATGTGGAGGAAGATCTTCAGAGTGTCGGAGAGGTTTGGTGGCAGGCCGGCTTTTCTCTGGACTCCAGCGCACAGGACGCTGGAGGAGCTCGTCGAGGCGCAAGCGGCGCCCGACGAGCTTTGGCGGTTCATGGGCAATGCGTGGGCCGATTTTTTCTTCAAGCTCGGAGCTAAGGATGTGGCTGTGGCTGAAGTCGCGGTCAGTGCTCTTAAAAACGAGGTGCGGAATTGTAAGCTCACGTTTGAGTTTTTGTCGCGGGCGGTTCAGTTGATTTGCTCCCGTCCCGAGGCCCAGCAGTGTGATCCACCTCCTCCTCCTCCTCCTCAGGCTGTAGAGCGCAGGTGTGATAAGCTTGTTCTGATCGCGCACGATCCTGCGCCCCTGGCCTCTGGCTTGCCGACCGCGGTGCAGTGCAGGCGCTGCTTAGCTGTGACTAAGACCCCTTCCAGTGTCAAGACGCTCCTGAAACCAGGGGCCAAGTGTGCTCCGCCTCCCATGCTCCAATCCTTGGCCCAGGCCGTGGAGCAGATGGGATGGCGGTCCCGTGAGGGAGGGAGAGGCGCGGCGGCGGAGATGGGCGGACTTCTTTTCGAGTGTGATGGCCACCGGGTCCATCGCACGGGGCCGTTCTTTTTCTGCCTCCGCTGTGGGGCGCGGGTGGCAGTCGGCTCTCCCAAGATCGATGCCCTCGGGGAGGCCTGTCCTTCGGCCCCCCCGAACCCCGCCCGTCGGCGTGCCAGGGAGTGGCTCGCTGATGGCAAGCACCCTTCTACAGGTGCTGTGCTGAGTTCCTAATTCGTTGGGTTTCTCGCTGGCGTCGGCGGCTTTACCACGCCAGCATTTCACTAACTGTATGTTAGTGCGTTTTGCATCTGAGTTTAAGGTGTGCCTCCATATCATGTCCAGGCTGTGTTTCGTTTTCGGATGACTCATTGTCCTATGGCTCCGCTCCGCTCCTCCTCCTCCTCCTCCTCCTCCTCCTCCTCCTCATCCTCCCTCTCTTTGGCATCCCGCCGCCTCCCGGCGCAGCGCCCGGCAGGAAAGAAGGGGTGAAGTCGGTGCCATTCTTCGTGTTCAGGAGGATGGGCCAGGCTGGCCCCCCTCGCGCGAGAGGTTCGCGGATGGCGGGCCAGAGGGGGGAAAGAGGGAGGGAGGGGGGTGGACGCGGGGACGATGATGATGATGATGATGATGATGATGATGTTGATGATGATGATGTTGATGATGATGAGGATGATGATGATTATGATGGTGGTTATGATGGTGATTATGATGATGATGCTGATGCTGATGCTGATGCTGATGGTGATGGTGATGGTGATGGTGATGGTGAGGATGATGATGTTGATGGCGATGGCGATGGTGATGGCGATTATGATAGTGATAATCATGATGGTGATGGTGATGGCGATGATAATGCTGCTGATGATGATGATGATGGTGATGATGATGATGATGATGATGATGATGATGATGATGATGATGATGATGATGATGATGATGCTGACCGCCAACCCCGGATAATGAATAAAGGGTACACCCCTTTAGGCCTGAGATTTTAATATCCTTGGCCAATACAGATTTTGTCGGGGGAGAGGGGCGGCAAGGCCGAACTTCATTATCGCGGGGGAAAGGTGCGAAATAAAGTTGCTATCTTCTTATGTTGACTAGCGACATCACCAGAAACGTGTGTCATGGCAATTGGGGTCTCACCATTTCAGTATTCGCAAGTCACGAACGTGTGAGCGCCAAGGATCATCAGAGCGAGGATCTCGAGGAACGCCAAGGATCATCATCATGGTTTGTCCTCGTACGTGAATCATGTGCGTCTCGTCGGATGTCGGCCGCTCGACACCCAGTCGTCTAGGAGCCATCGCCGCCTGCGTCGCTTGCTCCTGGCCCCCGCAACCGCGGTGGCTCAGGCTTGAAACGCTCGGGACCGCAGCCCGGCGGGTGATGTGGGGCTGGCTCCTCGAGCGGGGGCCGAAATACGTCGCCCAGGGGATAGTGAATTACGCGGCGCGCTGCCCAGCCATCCCAGCGTGCCCGTCGCACTCCTGCGGCGACTGCGTGGTGCCCCCGTTGCCCAGCCTGTCCGAGCTGCAGGCCAGGGAGCGGCGAGCGCGGGCGTCGGCGAGGTCGCTCGGTGTCCGTCAGCGCCCGAGGCGAGGTGCCTTTCGCCCTCCTTGGGGTGGTGGGCGCTGCTGATCTTCCTTGCGGGCCTGGTCGTGGGCGCCGGGCTGGTCGCAGGCGCGGCAGTGTGCCGCCGCGGCGTGCAGGGACTGGCAGCGCTGGGAAGCAAGAGGGCCGACAGCGACGATGAGCTGGAGTTACGTCCTGTACAACGTGGACGGCCCGGCTCTCTGGCATCATCGGAGAGTGCACGGCGTCGTGGCGCACTCGGCTAATAAGCTGTACGTCGCGACGACGCCCGACGCCCACGTGTATGCCGAGGACTGGTCCACGACCTCGCAGGACGTGCTGGCGGTGCGTTAGTGCCAGGGGTTTCGCGACCTGCCTGCGGGCGTCGCTCGAGAGCGGGTGCGCCGCTTCCACCGCGAGCCCTCGGCGCTGCGCGACGCCGACTTCCGCCAGGCGACCGAGGACGAGGCCGAGGCGGAAGGGCGGGCGCTCCTGGCTGCGTAGGGCGGGGCCCCCGCAGGCGCGGGCGTGCAGTGGCTGCTGGCGGTGGAGGCAGGCGGGCAGGTCGTCGCGGCCGCGGACGGTGGTGTCGCGGCGGGCGGCGCGCTGCCTGCCGCCGCCGCCGGGGCCACAGTGCCCGCGGGCGCCCCAGCGGGCGGAGGCGGCGCGGGCGGACCGCCGGCGCCGCCGCTGCTCCCAGGGGCCGCTGCAGAGGGTGTCGCCGCCTGCGGCTGGGCCAGCCGTGGGCACCACGTGGAGGGCGGCCGAGTCGGGGGGCGGCTACAGGTTCGGCGACGTCGTGAACGGGCACGTGCGCTCCAACAGGGCCGCGGGGTCTCGGGACATACACCTGCTGGCGGATGGGGGCAGTCTCTTCGTGGAGGAGGTGACGCCTGCCACCCAGGACAGCTTCTTCGACACGGCCGTGATGGGGGACGCCCGCGGGTTGGCCGTGCGGCGCAACCGCCAAGGACGGCGGGAGCGCACGTGGGCCGAGATGGTGTCCGCCGTCGTGCAAGAGGATTTCGCTGCCGACTGGGACCTCCCCGGGCCTCGCTCGACCCTGTGGTGCTTGGAGCTCGTGAATCAGGAGGGCCTCGGGTTGGACGGACACCATGAGAGGTTCAGATACACGTGCAAGTTGGAGTTCTCTGGCTGGGGAGTGTCGGAGCACTACAGTGTCACCCAGGCGCTGAAGTTGGGGTTGCTTCATGATCAGGTGGACGGGAGCAACCTCATGATGGTGGAGTGCCTCTTCCGCCGTATCCAGACCATCGAGTTCGCGCACTCGGAGCGCGCGCGGGAGCAGGAGGCCAAGGGGCACGGCGGAAAGCTGAGCTTAGAGGAGCAGATGGCGTTCGCAGGGACGTCGAGGGCTGGAGGCTCTCTAATGATCTGCCCGCTTCTTCTGGACTGCGCGCGGTCCGAGGTCGAGCGCGAGGCCTCTCTCGCGAAGAACTTGCGCAAGGCAAGGGAGGAACGAGAGTCCGCTCGGGCCAAGGACAAACTGGGCAAGAAAGACAACGGGTGAAGGGACCACACTAGAGGCCTTGTCCAGTCGCGCTGCGCGGGGAAATGGCGAGGCCTTCGCTGCTGCGCGGCACCCCAGGCCCTGGCATGTCAGTGCCACCTCGCCCAGGCGAGGCGCCCGTGAGCCGGGCTCCGGGCCCCGCCAGCCGAGCTTGCCAGTCTCCCCGTCCCCCTCCTTGCGCTGCCTCCTCCCCCTCGACCTGGGAAGACTGGATGCGCGATTCGCATCGGCGCGCGCCCCGTGAGATTTTCCCACTCCCTAGAGGGGGGGGGGGTGCGTTTAAGGTCGAACGGGCTCGCGCTGGCGTGCTTTCTCGTGGCGCGCGGCAGCGCTCGTGCAAGCGCGAGGCCGAGGGGCGCGAAGTCGACCGCGCCCCCTGGGGCCTCAACGCTTTGCACGCCCACCAGCCGCAGCCTCGCCCTGGGGCCGTGCAGGGGGGCGCTCCTGGTTTGGTTCACCGGGGCGGCTCGTGTTGTGTAGTTTCCTTGGGCCAAGCCAGTGCTCTGGATCGCGCCCGACGCGCCGCGCAGGACCTCGCCCCCCCCCCCCCCCCCTCGAGGGGGTCACTCCCGCAGAAGCTCTTAGGAAGCTTCGCGTGGCGAGCTGGTGCGACGTGGAGTGCGCCTCGCTCGGTCGCTACTCCCTCGCCGACGTCGCTCTGCCTTCGGGCGCCCCGGGCCCGCCCCGCTGCCTGAGCTGCGGGGCGAAGGCGAGCCCCGCGTGCCAGATGACTTCCGCCGATTGAACGTTGTTCCGCCGGGGCAGTCTCCAGTCAGACTCAAGGCGCCTGGCGTTGTCTCCCCCTACTCCGATCCTAAGTTGCGACGCCCTCGCGCTTTTGGAGAGTTCACGTCGGCCCCCGCGGCCGGGGGAATGGTAGATTTTGCTCGCGAGGGCGGCGAGCGGGTGGAGCCGTTTTTGGCGTGGCTAAGAAAAATGGGAATCCCCGGCTCGTCGTTGACTGCAGGCGCCCCATCTGTCACTTCACCGAAACGGGGGGGGTCTCGCTCTGCACGGGGGAAGGGTTAGCTTCTATTGAGCTTTCCGCCGATGAGTGCATCGACGTCGGCGGGGCGGATCTCAACGATGCGTTTTATCACATGGGGCTACCGCCCCCTCCCCGCAAGTATTTCACCTTTCGGCCCGCGCGGGCCTCGGCGGCGGGCGGCAAGTCGACGGGGGGCCGCGTCGTCGCCGCTCACGAGAAAGTTGATCCTAGGCTGGCTGCGATTCCGATGGGCCGGTCTTGGGCGCCGTGGTTTTGCCAGGAGATTCACGAGAGGATCGTCGAGGCTTCGGGCTCGGATCCCGGGCTGGATCATAGACAGGAGGAGTGGGCATCTGGGCGCTTCAGCGTCTGCGGCGGGCCCGGCTGGCTCGGGGCCGGGGGAAAGGCCAGGGCGTTGAGAAGCTCCTCAGCCACCTCGTCTTTATCTCCTTGGTTCGTCGGGAGGGGCTCAGCATCGCTTGGAGCTGCCATGGGTTTGTCCGGAAACACTGCGACACTGAGGTTCCCTTGTGGCCATCGTTTCGGCAGGAGTTGGGATTGCGGGATGGTATCTCGCCTCTTCCATTTCGCTGTCTTCGGGCCGCTTGGGGAGATGAGGTCATCGCTGTCGACGCCAGCGAGTGGGGCCTCGGCGCCCGTTCTAGCCGGCGCGGGTCGACTCTTTCAGCGCAGGTCGGCCGTGCATCCGAGAGGTGGCGGTGGGGCCGCGGCGGGGCCCTGGGCGGACCTCGTCGCCGCGCTGGGCGCCAAGCTCGGAACGCTGCTGCCGCGGCCGCCCTCGACGGGTCGACCGAGGGGGCCGCCCCCTGGATGCGCGGCCCGGACGACATTCCGGACCCTGAGCCCGATAGCGGCTCTTCCGGAGGACTCGTGGATATGATTACTGACGAAACCGTCGAGCAGGATTGGAAGGTCGCCGGTCGCTTCGAGCGGCGGAAGAAAAAACGAAGAGGGTGCGTTTCTGGATCTCCCCAAGGGGGCGGGGGTTGGGACCCCCCCCCCTTCCCCCTCCGTTCTCCGACCCGTGGTCGGGGGACCCCCTCCCCCCCCCGCGCCCAATGCCATTTTTCCAAAAGGGGACGGGGGGGGGGTCCGAACTCCCCCCCCCCCCCCCCTTTGGCCGCCCCCCCCCACCCATCTCCCCTTTTCGCCGCGCCCTGGCTCCGGAACCCGACCCCCGCCACCCCTACCCCTAGTCCTCACCCTAACCCAAACCCCTAATCCGAACCCCAACCACTAACCCCAGCCCCAAAGAATACTCACTACTCATTACTCACTACCCACTACTGACTCTCGCTATTCGCTACTCACTTCTCAATACCCCCTACTCACGACTCACTACTCACTATCCACTACTCACTACCCACCACCCACTACTCGCTACTCACTACTCCCTACTCACCACTCCCTCCTCCCCCCTCCTCTCTACTCACTACTCACTACTCATTCCTCACTACCCACTATTCAATGCTCACTATTCACTAAGCACTACTCACTAATCATTATTCATTACCCGCTACCCACTAATCCACTTCACAACTCACTACTCATTGCCCACAAATCACCACTCACTACCCACTACCCGCTACTCCCGACTCCCTAGGACAATACTGACTACACAGTACTCAGTACTCACTACTCGCTACTCCCATACTCGCTACTCAATACTCACTACTCACTCCCCGCTATTCACTACTCCCTACTCACTAGTCACTACATAGCCTCTAGTCACTAGTCACTAGTCACTACTCGCTACCCACTACTCACTACTCACTAATCGCTACTCACTACCCATTATTCACTACCCACTTCTTACTACTCACTGCTCACTACTCCCTACTCACTACTCACTACTCGCTACTTCGTAGGCGTTACTCACTAATCACTGCCCACTACTCTCTACTCACTACTCACTACGCCCTACTCGCTCCTCACTACTCACTACTCGCTTCTCCCTACTCGCTACTCACTACACACTACCCACTGCCGCATCCACTACTCTCTATTCATCTCTACTCACTACTCAGTACGCACTACGTACTACTCAGTACTCACTACTCACTACTCACTACTCGCTACTCTCTACACACTACTCACTACTCACTATTCACTACGCACTACCCACTACTCACTACTCACCACTCATCACTACTCGTCACCCACTACTCATTATTAATTACTCACTACTCATTACTCTCTACTCCCTACTCAGTACTCACTACTCACTACCCACTACTCACTACTCACTACTCGCCACTCACTACTCACTGATCAGTACACTCACTATTCACTACTCACTACTCCCACTCCCTACTCCCTACTCCCTACGCGCCACTCACTATCCACTGTTCACTACAACATACTCACTACTCACTACGCACTAACTCACTACTCATTACTCCCTACTTACTACTCCCAACTCCGCACTCCCTACACACCTTTTCTTGGCGCAGAAAGGAGAAGCGAGAGAGGCCCCCCCCCCCGGCCCCCTTTCCGGCGCAGGGGGGGGGGGGGGAGGGGAGGTCCGAACCCCTCGCGCCCCCCCCCCCCCCTTTGAGCGCCCGAGCGCCAAGGGGGGGGGGGGCGCCGGACCTCGCCCCTTGAAGGGGGGGGGGGGTCTGGACCCCACCCCTTTAGTGTGTTCAGGGAGATCCACTGGCGCACTTTCAAAAACGAGAGCACCCCCGTCCTGGAGGCCCGGGCCACTTTACACGGCTAGAGGCACTTTCTTCGGAGCTGCCGGCACCGCGGTTATGGTCTGGCCATCCCTGGAGATTCGATGGGCGTAGCGGGGGCCGTGTCCAAGAGCCGAAAAGGGAGTCGCGTCATGATGAATGTCACCCAGGGCATCGCCGCCTTGTCATTGGTCACTGGGTCTCCCCTACACTATCGTTGGTTGCCGTCTGAGTGGAACGCAGCCGAAGGGCCCTCCTGGGGACGTTGGCGGCCCGCCGCCCCTGCCGCCCTCATCGCGCCAGATGCTCGCGCGGGGCGCCCGCCCTCCAGCGCGGACCGCGGCGGAGCGCCTGCGGCTGGGCCTGGGGGCGCTGCCGCGCGGTGCCAGCACTTCGAGGGCGGCGCCCGCCGCCCCAGCGCAGGCACGGGCCACAACCTGGAGCCAGCCTTCGTCCTCGGGCTCTGCTCGCGCGGTCGCCGCGCGACAGCAGCGGGCAGTGCGGGGGCGGCCTGCAGCGGCGACGGCGGAAGGCAGCTCGGCAGTGCCATTGCGCCGCAGGGTGGCCTCTCGAGCCGCCAAGGCCTCGGCGCGAGCGGCTGCCGCCACGCGGGCGCCTGGGGGCGATCCTCGAGGCGGCGCCCATCGAGCCAAGGGCGCGGGCTCGGTGCCACGAGATCTTCAGCGATTTCAGCGTCTGGGCCAAGGGTCGGGAGCTGGCGACCGAGGACCAGGTGGGCGAGGCGCTGGCAGAGTGGCTGGAGGTACTCTACCTCAGGGGCGAGAACCTCAGCGCGGGCTCGTGGGCCCACGCGGCGGCGACCTTCTTCGCGGGCCTGAACAAGGCCTCGAGTGCGCCAAAGCCACCGCCACGTCGGGGGCCCAAGGCTTTCGCAAGCTGGCGCCCCCATCGGTCTCGCTCGCCGATGCCGCGCCTGGTTGCGGCGACGCTTGCGACAGAGCTCCTGGCCCACAAGTTGGTGCAGAGCGCCTTGGCCGCGCTGCTGATGTTCGAGTTCTACCTCGGGCCCGGGGAGGTCTTCCACGCGAGGGCCATCGACCTGGCGCCGCCGGTGACGAACGCGAGCGGCGCGAGCCGCTGGTGCGTGACGCTGCGCGCGGCAGAGACCGAGCGCGAGTCGAGGACGGGCGAGTTCGACGAGAGCCTGGCCCTGGACCTTAACAGGCAGTCGGAGATCGGGCCAGCCCTCGAGCGCATGTCAACGCTGCGCCTCGGCGTAGGTTGGCGCGCCGCCGAGCAGAAGTTCGCCGGGGCAGGGCGCCACCTCGCGGCGCCGCTCTTCACGACGACGCTCG